GATGCCAAGTTATTTAATATATTCTTTATATAACTGTGATTATAAACGGTTTTTTTTAATATAAGATTTTTGAGGATAGGTGTGATAGTGACTATAGATAGATTGTGACTATATAGGATAGTTTTTAATAATAAAGTGTTTTGAACATTCAACTGGTGTGACTATATAGTAGAATGTGACTATAACGGGAGTGACTATAGAGGGAGTTGACTGTAAATAAAAAAAAAATTATTTTTTATTAAAAAAAATATAATAAGATAATATTAAAATAAGTTGTTCAAATAAAACTAGCTATTTACTGAAAAATAATTTGCTATTGCTAGCTTCTAATAATATTTTTTTATTACAAATACTTCTTTCTTATTTAATAAAATTATTACAGTCAAACCTTGATATAGCGAACTCTTGATATAATAAATTTTTCAGACAACTATGGTGGCTGTCACCTATAAACCACACTAATATTAAGTGACTTCAAATTTTATAAATTGTAAATTGAATAGTAAAAAGAAAAAACTAAACCGATAAAATGATATAGCAACATGTACTGAACATTTCTATCGGATTATTTTATAGAATATAATAAGAATTTTAATTAATATTATGGGTTAAAGTTGGATAATTTTAATAAGTAGCAATAATAAAAATATAAAATTTCGGACTAGTTTTCATGTAATTTTTATGGATTTTACAAAAATTCCATGGAAATCCACAAGAATTCCATGTAATATGGCAAAAAAAAAATTTTGCCGATCACGCGGCAATTAATATTTTGACAAAGTACTTTAAAATATAAGTTACACAATATAAATAAATAAATTTCAAAATTTCGGACTATTGTTGTTTATAGGTGACAGCCACCATATAATAAATTTCTCCTTGCTATAACAAATTAACCAATCAAATCTCTTAAAAACTTTACTATAGCTCTATAGCGAAGTTGAGATCTGAAACCTAGGGTTTGTTATAACAAGGGTTGACTGTAATTATTTTTTTTTTAACCAAGGTAGTGCAATTTGTGAGTTTATTAATTATATGTAAGAATATAGAAACATCTGTTATATAACTAATTTATTAAAACTCCAAACCAGTTTCCTATCCATAAGATTGTTCCTGTACTCTACCATTACCTTATGAAATTCACTTATATCTTTCAATAGTAGCAAAATTATTAATTATAAAGGAAAGAAAATATATTTAATTAGATTAAAATTTTTAAATTGGCCAAAAACAGAAAAATAAAAATAAAAATTGATTGTTGTAAAAATGTAAATGATATACTAAATATTAATAAGTATTTTAAGATTTATCACCCTTTTTATTATTATTCTTTCTTTCGGTTTATTTAACTAAAATTTTTTCTTATTCCTTTTTTTTATTTTTATTAGATAAAGAATTTAGCTAGAGAATTTATTCTACTGTATATAAATGACAGATTAATTTACAAATATATTTCAAAATTAATTATTACTAATAATAATGATTTTAAAGAAAAAAATCTAATGCAATATTAATTAGTATTTTAATAAACATTATTTTTTTATTTTAATAAACAGTTTTGAAAAATTAGAATTCTTATTCTTTGACTATTTTTTTTACTTTTTTTAAGATGAGAAGCTTTCAATAAATTAAGCAATTCTTTATTTTTTATATAATACTGTATTTAGATAAATATAAATTTTGAAAGTTTTATAATTTTATGATATATTAAATTTAGGTAACAATTTTCTCTATTATCTTTACCAATTTTTAAAATTTTAATTGCTTTTATTTTATAAAAAAAAATAAAAAAAAAAGAATTAATTATTAATAATTTAAGATATAAAATTTAAAAAGTAATAATATATTTGCATCTTAATTAAAAAATATTTTTCTGCATTTTTTTGGTTGCTATTGAACTTACATATTGTTGAACTTAGCATCCAGCCAACATCTAGCAAAATAATTCAGTTTTATATTTATTACTATCCAACTTTGAGAATGACATTTATTTTCTATATTATATATTAAGATTTAATACCTGTTATTCGCTACTCACTATAGTATTAAAAAGATTATTATAACATTAATAATATGTTTAATGATTTACATTATAATATTATTTATTAAGAAATCTATGCAAAAATAATACATCTATATATATGTATAATAAAACAAAAACAAACAAAAATTGAAAACTGATTGTAATTATATATATTTGTTTTTCTTCATCCTGTTTGTTAACATAAGTATAATTTAAATTTTAGTAATATTAGTAAATTAAATTCATAATAACGATTTAACACTTACTTTTAACTGATCAACCTGATCAATCCATAAATTAAATGTTTTCAAAAATTCAAATATTAATTCTTCAATTTCAATTTTACGGTGATTTGGATCAATATCTACTCCAATCACCTTTTTTTTGGATTTGTATGTAGACTCCCTATGCTTATTATTAAATGAAGTTATGATATAAGCATTATTAGAAATTGAAGGGGATTCCTCTTGCATTGAGGATTTTAACCATTCGACCTAAAAAAATACTTTCATAAGTAAAATATCAGGTAAATAAATGAATGAATTGTAAAACTTACAATTTGACTGCATTTAGCAAGTTCTCCTCTTCTATGTAATGTGTCTGAAGATTCAGAATTAAAGAAACATATCACAAACTGTTTGGTGAAAAAGTAGTTTCATTTAAAAAGGATACTGACGATGTATAGCAATAATTTTTTTTCATATATAAATCTAGTGAATATTGAGGACTGCAATATCTCATTATTGATTGCTATAGTAACTAATGACGTTTTTTTTGCCCAAGTAATATTATCCTTTATAAATTGATGCAATACCACAGCAGCTGCAAGTTCTGAACGAAAATGTATATTAAGTGTAAAGTAACATATAACATTTTAGAACTTTTATAATACAATACCTTTTTTAGAAAGACAACATCGAATCATTTGGGGAATAGCGTATGATTGCCAAATCCTTTCGTCAATATTTTTCATGTTCATATAGAAGGAAGAATGTAAAATAAGAGCATCCATACTAGATCTATTGTTAAAATAAGATATATTTAATTCTATAGAAAGAAGACCACACAAAAGTCCGCTGATCATGTGTAAACTTAACTTCTTAAATCTGGCTATAATTATAATTATAAATCATAAATGGATATTTATAATCACTCTTTATCTAGGAGAATATATGATCTGGCGGACTAGAGTTAATTAGAAATTTACCTAAGTGTTTTTGATACGCGGCCTTGCAAATGATATAAATCAGCTAAGCGAAGATCATAAATATATTTAGGAGTGTTGTTTTTCCTCAATTCAATGCAAAATTGAATTAAAGCGTTTGAGATATCAAATTTAATCGGTTTAATCTTCTCGTTCAAAACTTCAGCTAATTTAGCGAATCTTTACAATAAATAATATTTAAGAATTATAATTTGTTACTACAGATAGATAATAAAGCAGAAGACTTTTAATACTCACGATCTTTCCGGCCAATGTTTCGTTGCACAATCAGAAGACATCATGATTATTGTTAACGGTCCATATAATCCAGGATTAAGCTGCTAAAAAGATTATTTGGTATTACAAATAAGGAAGATCTATTATTGATTAAATCAAGCTAAAATTGAACATAACATACTTCTAACCGTCGATTCCATTGTTGTCCACATAAATATCCAGCAATCATACTCCCAATAATTTGATGAACCCATTTTTGATTGACAAGTTTAGAAATAACTTCAAAGACCGTTTCCTTTAATATAATATATTAATATTAATGAAATATTTATACTAATGAAATATAATTTCATACCTTCGAAGTTACTCCTCTTGAAAAAAACGTTTTGAAAAACTTCATAACCTTCGCCCTTATATTTTTAATTTCATTAAATCTCATGTTAAATAATATATCAAATTGTTTTTGATGCATTGTGGCATCAAAGCTATTCGTTATATCTATTATCATAAATAAATATTAAAGTAACTAAATTTTGTTGAATAATAAATTTTTTGTGCATTATTAAATTTACCTTGTGAAATGTTTGTAAATAACTCCAAGATTTCAATACATGAAATAATAATTTTACAAAATCGAAAATGTCCAGAAAATTTATCTTTTTAAATGGATAACTATATTAAAACCTTTAAGCATGTACAAGCTTTAATCTGAAATATAAGTAAAACCAACCACTCTTGTATTCATCTTTGAATCTCAACTTTCTAATATTCTTAAAAAAATTTTTAAGAAATTGCCAGCGACAAAAATCCATGAATTTATATGATATAATTTCCTAATAAAAACAATTAAATGAATAACGCGATCATTCATTATAAACTCAAGCTAGCATATTACATTTTAAATTTTTACCAAAATTCGAAATTCCATAATACCATGTAGCTTGAGAGTATCGATACACAAGTTTTCAACTTTTTCAGAATTTTCGGCATTTAAATTTCTTTCTGGTAATTGACCTATTAAATCTACAATTTCCGCCCAACGTAGATTGACTTCACTTATAGACTGTAATCATATATCAAATTGTTACTATGTGAAGAAGTTTATACGTTTTATTCATCAACATACATCATTATGGAATTTTTGATTTTCCGGTCTTTTTAACTATAATATTATGAAAGAATTAATACTTAAGTAAATCAAAATGTTATATTTGAATAAACTAAAATATTTACACTCAATTCTTCTAGTAAAAGATCGAAATCATCAGAGTTATTGATAATCGTATCGTCATTTAATCGCAAATTTCCGGATTTGTAATTCTTATAGCGAAGATTAAATTGTGAAATTTTATCAAAGAACTGTTCTAGTGGATATTGCACAAATTCAAACCCTATTATAAAAAATAATCATCAGACCAAATTTTAACTTAAAAACAGTAATTATTGTGAAATAAATCATATCACCTTCGATCTTTTTAATAATTCTCAAAACTTCTTCATTTTCAATCTTTTTGAAAAAACTCGAAACGAAAGATCTTTGATTCTCACTCATTTTTGAACCAGGAAAATTACCATATAATTTCTTAAATATCTCGGCAATCTCATAAACTATGTTTTCGTTAAAATTATGCTTGAGATAATAAAAACACTGTTCAGGAACTGAATTTAACATTTCCTCTAAATAGATGGAGATGTGTGAAAAAATATTTTAAATTTAAGAAAACAATTTGATCAAGAAATTTTATTTTATGATAGTTACCCAAAGGTAAATCTGATAGTTCTAAAGCATTACATATAGAAATCTTAATACCAGATTTCTCTTGACCTTTATTGAATGCTTTGGAAACCAAATTGTTTCGAAAATCCCTGGGAATATTTAATAAGGTATTTTCTATAAGTGCTTTGAACATAACTAAGAAAACACCTTCGTAATCTTGTCCATGTTGTATAAAATGATTTATTTGATCTTGTAAGGAAATATTAGTCGTTATTTTCAACAAAATTCTGATTGATTTTTCGGCTCGAGCTTCATCTATATCACTTTGAAAAATTATGTATATAATGTTACGGAATTTATTTGATTAATAGGTTGATCTCAAATTGGAAACGTGATAACATACCAGAACGATTTATATTCTCCAATATTTTCGTTATCAGAAATGCTTTCAAGTCTACATTTACAGAAATATTCGATAGATTTCCTTCTGTCAACCGAAAAGTAGTATTCACCTAGTTCATAAGCTAATTGGCTTTGAAATATGTTATCGATTGACATAGAATGACTGGAAGGGTCAGCACTCGTTACAGAACCCTAATTATAAAAGAGTTAAGTATATATATTATAACATTTTCGTTCTACATTAATTTTTACCATATATTCTTGGGATAAAGATTTATAAAGATTTTCCAATATTTTAGTAGATTTTTCACTTTGATCAAATTCGTAACCGAAATTTATATCTTTGTATTTCGATCTAATCATCCATCGATGAAATAAGTTTACAGGATCAATACGTGGATTTCCGCCAATAAGATCTCTAAAGAAAAAAAAATTTATTTTGTTGTTAAATTTTATAAAAGTAAACTTATAATATATGTATTTCACATATTATAAGTACTGACTGTCCATAATATATAAGAGCGTGGAATAGTGCCGGCTGAGCATTTATTGGAGTGTATTTTTCAATGTATTGCAAGCACAAATTCGTTTTACGTATAACCTAAAACAATGTTAGTATTATATAAATTGCATGAATATCATAAAATTCATAAATTTAGTGACAAAATGAATATCGATTATACCAGGCAAGCTGCTTTAATCAATTGATATTGTAGAGTTGTTAATGAGAATGTTAGAGGATCATCGTTGAGTATTAGAACATTATCAGGAAATTCTGCTTCAGGCATTAATATTTCTAATAGATATATTCCTTTATCCTGCAAATTTTCTGGAAGAACTTCATCTAACTATATATAAATCGTTTGTTACTTACGATTAATATGATCAAATTCTATTTCATAGGTTATATATTACCTGTTCTTCAAGGATTTTTGGATTTTGACACCACTGGATAACTTCTGCATTCATCGGAAACATAGGACGAATTGTAGCCATTTTATCAATATATAATTCCTTTAAAAAACATTGATTATTTTGATTATTGATTATAATAACAATTAGAACAATTGGGATAAATGAATATACTGCACTCACCAACGGCAGCAGGGAAAAAATTATCTTTTCTTTTTTTAACCAGAACAAAGATAAATTAGAAATTTTGCTTGAATTTATCTGAAATTAAAAAAACGCGTGATTTAAGATCTACAATATATTTGGGTATAAATATTCCGGAAAAAGTTTTTTCAATCGTTTCCTGGTCTCTACATAAAACTTTTACTGCAAAGTAAAAGTTTATATAAAAAAAAATATATATATATAAAATGACTAGGATTACAAGAAGCAAGAGAACCAAGTACGATAAAGGCGAGAAAGACGAGACTACGGGAGATACTGGAAATACCAAGGCTACCGAGACTTCTACCATGACTACCGTAATTACTCCAAAACCTCCGAATGTTCAAACAAGAAGATCTTCGGCTCAGACCTCTCGCCAGGGAGAAGTAACACCTTTGACGATTAAACTAATTTCTATATGGTCAACCATAAAAAGCCACAAGGACACGAATGTATCGTATAGAAACAGAGTGATTGCAAAACTTTTCATGAGTTTGCCAGATAAAAAGATGTACCCGGATTATTATGAAGAAATCAAAAATCCGATTTCTTTGGATGTGATTAAGCAGAAAATAGACGATGGTGAATATTTGAATGAAGAAGCATTTGAAGCGGATCTAGAACTAATGTGTGAAAATGCAAAGAAATATAACGTGGAAGGTTCTCAGATACACAATGATGCAATCATTTTACAAAAATTAGCGCGTAAACTGCTGAAAGGAGATATAGATAAGGATGATAATGAAGTTTCAACAAATATTGACGAAGTTGAGCACAATGGAGAAATTTATCAAGTTGGTGATTATGTACATATATTCAACGAAGCTAATCCAAGTAAGCCTAACGTTGCTCATATTCACAGAATTTGGGAGAATAATAAAGGAGTAAAAGGTATTTATGTATGTTGGTATTATCATCCTGAACAAACTAAACACCAGGCTACTCACAAATTTTATGAAAATGAAGTATTCAAAACAAACACATTTCATGATCACTCTTTTAATGATGTTATTGAAAAATGTTACGTTTTGCAATATAAGGATTACATAAGTGGAAGGCCAAAGGGTAGTGAGGGTATGTCGGTGTATCTATGCGAATCTCGTTATAACGAACATCAAAAGAATTTTAGTAAAATTAAAAATTGGGCCAGCACAATGCCAGATGGAGTTCCGTATAAGAAAATGGAACTAGTTAGATTTAAAGAAGCTATTATTCCAAAAAAAGTTGAAAGTGTATTAGTGGCGAGTTTTAAGAAAACTATGGGGAAAACTAAATCCGAAGAAGATAGAAAAGAATTACAAGCACACAAAATAACTAAATATGAGCATGATGTAGATTCTTATCCCGATGATCCCCTCTCTCCATCACGAGCAATTACACCCGTTAGAAGTACTAGACTTGGACGACCTCCTAGATCTCGAGGCTCCAATAGAAGACAAACGCCAGTGACCTATCAACATCCACAATCGTATCAACCAGCATATGATTCTGATCATTATAATTATGCATCACCCAGCATAGCACATTCACCATATCCAATGACGTCAGGATATCCGGTTACTTCAACTCCTTTAACCGAAAATATACAAACCACCGGAATGTCTCATCAATATGAATTTACTGCTCCGTCTCATGAAATGGCCATTTCTATGCCTCCGGTTCCCCCACAGCATCAATTTTTGCCTCAACAATATTTTCAAGCACCATCCATAGTACAGCAGACAACACCAGTTATGCAAAATCCTATCATGATGACCAACGCTGCTATGACCAACGCTGCTATGCATAACTCTGTTATGCAAAATTCAGTTATACATAATTCTGTTATGAGAACCTCTGTTATCCAAACCCCTATTATGCGAAACCCTACTGTGCAAAGCCCTACTATGATAAACCCTACTAAACCAACGATCAATCATAGGTCAGAGCCAATATTGGAAGTTCCTTCTGAAACTACAGAATATTTTGCTTGTGATGACGGAGGAAACATGTTGTGGTTTCATTCTCCACCCGTAGATGTAGTTTCATTAGGAGAACCAATGCATTCAATAGATTATCTCCATCGTCGAGAAGAAATTATCATGCGTGAGGGTGACAAGAAAAGAACATTTCATGAGATATCATATCATAATGATAATCAAAATACAAATATACAGTATCAACCAGATCCAAATTCAAAGAAATTAGATTTGGTGAATAGCATTGAAATATTAGGAGATAGGTGGAAGAATGATGCTAGCTTACTTAATCAACGACTTGGCGGAAATCATCCTGAATATTATTGTGAAAGAGGTTAATATGCATCAAATCCGAGAAATGAAATAATCGAAATTTAGAGTCATCTTGTTGATATGGTCTATAATAATAAATTTTTTTCGATTTAATTTACATATCATGCATATCGTGGAGGATCGAAAATATGGATGGGTTTAGATTAAAAAATTAGAGATAGTATAATTCTCTTTGATAGATAGATCTCTTATAAATGCGATATATGTAAATTCAATATAATAAACATAAACAAAAAGAAAATATATTCGTATAGATTTAAAATCAATAAATAAAAATAATTGTAAATCATCATTATTCACGAATCAAATTACTCTCTGATAAATAATAAATATACATTTTAAAAAAAAAAATTTTATTAATTAATAATTATTAAATTATATATACTATATAAATATTATTTTTAATTGGTTTTAGTTCTTTTAGAAGTACCCGCGGAAGAAGTAATTTTTCTTTTTTGCGATAAACCTTGTTTTCTAAAATATTCTTTTCTTTCCTTTTTATCCTTTTCAACTAGCAAGACTTCTTGTTTAGCTATTTTTTTAGCGTATTCATTATGTTTTTTAGTTTGTTTTTCTTTACGTTTCCTATCCTTTTCTTTCTTTAAAGTATGAATTTGTTGCATAAGCGTATACATTTTCTTTTCTTTAGGTTCTAATACAACAGCCCGTTTTTGTAGATATGATTGGTTTGTTCTTTTTTTAAGTAATTTAGGCTTACTTGCGAATGGTAAATTTGCTTGTAAAGATAATGGAATATGTAATGGATTAAAACGACGATTTTGTCGTTCGACTTTCTAATGTATAATATATATTTTTTAGAATCTTTTTTTACTAATTAGAAAAAAAATCAACTTCATAATTGTTTTACCTTGTATTGAGAATCCGGATTTTTTGGTGTTTCAATATTTAATTCTCTACGAATTTGACCTGTTAATCTCATTCCTTGCCATTCTTTCTTTGATGACAACAACAATGATGTTACTGGATTATAAAACTTTTTTGGTTTGATTGGGTACCAAGCTCGTAAAAATACGATATCTAATGAGACAAAAATAAAATGCATTTTAATTTAACCCTAAAATTTTGATTTTAGGTAGATTACATTAAATATAATAAACTTTACATACCGCTCATTAATACTTTATCTTCAAATGTAGCACGAAAGTGACCTTCGTGTTTCTATATAAACTAGAGTATTAATCAAATGACAAATATATATAAATATAGATTTTTAATTATTTACCGATATGTGCTTTTTCACTTGACCCCGAATTCCCGAAACTGTTCGAATTGCAGCCCCTTCAAATTTTGCCACTTCCAATGAAGAAGTAAACATATCTTTGACGAAGGCCGTATTCTTAAAAATCTTGTAAGGAACACCAGTCAACTTTAATTTTTTAACAATCTCAACAGAATGATTTATATCAAGTACTATTCCGGTAGCACTTATTCTAAACGCAGTCTTTAAATATTAATCGTAGGTAAATATGTGAATAAAAAAAAAAATAATTAAAAATTTTTGTTAATTTGAACTTACAGTATTATCATTAGAAACAGATTGCACTGCACAGAAACCGGTATTAGGTGGATAAATGGGTCCTATAATAAATACGATAATTCAAGATTAGGCTATATCTGACCATATTGAATGCATAAGAGTATCTAAATTACTATAAAGATATACCATAAATAGTTGCTAAACAATGCATATGTTCTGGAGTATATTTAAGCATTCTGTTTCTTGTCTCATCATTCAAGGAATAAATAGGTATTGATTGAAAACGTCTCCAACCAAGCGAGAATATAAGAGGATCTTTTGTCTTTAAAATCTTTTTATGCCACCGATGTCGCTTTATACGAACCTAGAATCGAATAGAATTTTGTTTAGTTTATCATTCAGTAACTTCGTTTATAATAATATTATTGATTCACCTGTATAAAGCCTAAATTTGCTTCGGTTGTTAATAGACCACCAACTATTACTGGATATGTCGGATCAAAATACTTGACAAATTCACATTGTATTTCCTTAAGTAAAATTCGGACATAAGTACCAGGTCGAAATCCTTCAATCATAGCTCTTGTATGAGGATCATCGTCTTCGAATTCCTCGCGATTAAGTTGCAATTGCTTAGAAATTTCCCCCTTAATTTCATCATAAAAATCTACCTTAGGAGTATCATCCTTTTCATCATATTCCGAATCAAACTTTTTCTTCAACAAAGCTCTTTTTTGCGCAAGAGCTTTTTGTTCAAGTTCCTCTTTAGATTTTTCAACTTCATCTGTTTCAAGATCTTCAAAGTCTTCACTATCTGAATCATCATTTTCTCCTGCAGAATTGTCAACCTCAAGATTACCTGTAATAAATCTATTTCTAATAGACTCTAATGTCTAGAGAAAATATAAGATTTGATGATTAGTAACACTACAATATACAATTTAATATATAACACAAAACGTAACTGATCCTTAAATACTGACATCATTTTCATTCCATTTATCAAGATTACTTGTGTCTAAGCATGCTTTAATAGAATCGATAACATTCAAAGATACAGTATCTTTCTCTACAATCTTAAAAAATTCATCATCATTCTCTTCTACATTGTCTTTTTTATTTTCAAAAATCGCACCAACTTTTAATAAATCTGAAAGATTTCCTGATGCAATCTCTTCTGGTGTTTTTTCATTACCATAAATCAATTCCATAACACTAATTTTACGATTAGCAAGGAACGTTTCCTTTGCTTTCTCAGCTAAATTTGATTTCCATCTTAATGCACCATCAAGATCAGAGTTATCCTCCTCATTTTGACTTAGAATGTCATCCATATCACTGTCACTCTCAGCATATACAACCCCCTCATTATCATTGGCTTCATTTTCTAGATCTTTCACTTCAAACTTATTGAGAACAGCTCTTCTACCGGAACTTTTTTTTTTAACTCGTTCCTCCTCATCATCCTCATCATCGTCATCATCATCGTCATCATCATCGTCATCATCATCGTCATCATCATCTTCTTCATCGTCGTCATCATCATCATCGTCATTTTCATCATCATCATCATTTTCATCGTCGTCATCTTCATCATCGTCGTCATCGTCGTCATCATCATCGTAATCATCGTAATCATTATCGTCAACTACTTCATCATCTCTAGATTCAGTATCTGAATCAAATATTTCACCTTCATTATCATCATTATCTTCTTCAACATTTCGTTTGGCATTACCATCACCTTTACCATAATTAGCCGATCTACCATTCTCGTTTATTTCTTTTGACTCGGTTGCTAGACGTTTTGTAAAATTCAATAATTATTGCTTCCGATAAAAGAGGCAATCGAGAAGTAATCTGGAAAATAAATTACAATACCATTATTCCTTTCCTCAACTAAATCCGAAGCTTTCATAGGAACAGAATTCGCAAAAATTGCAAGTTCACTCTCTTCTAATTTAGTCGCAAGTGTATCTGGAGCATCTTGTAAATTTATAACCATTTTCTCTCCGGGACCTTGTTCATATTCTATATCACCTAACATACCAATTAAAAATTAATCATATTAATCACGTTAAGTTATTATATTAAACGTATTATCCTTTTGCATATAAGCGAATTACCTTCTTCACCATTAATTTGATCGGATTTCTTTATGAAACTTCCTGGAACGTCGATATAAACGGCATCTTTATCGTACATAATTCCACCAACATTAGACATAGGTGCATAGATAACTTTGTGTTTTTCACTAAGACTCCTTCGTACTTTATTAGGTAACGGACATGGGTCCGGCAATATTGAAATATCGGACAGGGTTTGATCTCCAGCACCTGGAATATGAACTTTCATGTTGGTTTTCATATTTGTTCCACGTAAATATCCGTATAAAGTAATAGTCCTATCACATAAAGGATTCTGTCTGACTTCTTCTGGATCAGTCAGGTCTTCTAAACGATCGGCAACCAAATAAGGATGTGTATTTCTCCAAATCAACGGTCTAAATTTCATTATAGAAATAAATCTAGAAAGATTGTGAATTTCTCTATCTGGATATCGACCATTAATTATTCCCGATAAATAAAAAAGTTTTGCTCCTTGATAAATTTCAGTCCAAAAGCGATGTTTTAAGCGTTTTTTGGTTGTTTTGAGTGTCTTAACTCTTTTAAATTTATCCAAATGTGTTAGAACTCCTAATATTTTTGGAAATCCATGAACTTGTAAAATATTTAGAAATTCAAACGTTTCCTAAAATTATGAATAATATGTGAATAGTGTTAAAACTTCGGAATAAAGTTAAATCGTAATTATTTTCTATTTACCATCTCAAAACCAAAACTTGCATCAATTATTAACAACACCAAGTCTGCGATTTTGGCTACATCAATCATGCAATTCATATCATTTGTACATTCTATAAATGTCAATCTCCTTTTTTTACCTTATAAAAATAAATAAATAATCAATTAATCAAATGTTTAATTAAAAATCTGATTAAATAAACAGTAAATGAATAATGTTATAATACCGCTCACGACTGTAATAGGTCCTTTTACTTCTGTAAGGCTGTGCTTGGTGAATCTTTTTACAAGAGACTTTATCAAAGTAGTTTTGCCAGTCTAAATATAACAAGAGGCGATTAATCGATTAAATTCGTCTTAACAAAATATATTTAAACAAGTACCTGTGGAGGTCCTACTACAGCAACAATTATAGGAGGGGGTTCTAATGGAGTTCTATCAACAAGAGGTACATGAAGTTTCTTTTGAAGCAGTTCCTGTTTACGTCTAGCAAGTTTTTCTGCTTTTCTTCCAGACAATGGAGCGAAAGCCTTTAAGAAAAAAAAAAATTTAATAATTGGTTAACTAAAAAGTTTATTTATAAAACACGAACCTTTGGGTTGTTTTTCTCTTCATTTTTCTTTTGTTTTTTGGATTTTTTATCCTTTTTTGAACCAGATTGGCGTGGTCTATGAGCTTTATGTTCCTTGTTGTCCATTTTTTTTTTTATTTATTGAACTTTACTAATTACTCCAACTTTCGAGCATGTATTGGCAAAAACTATCGCAAAAAAAAAAAATTTGTCGATCGATCAATATTTTTTTTTTTTGATAATCATTTATTTATTTAGCTATTATTTTAATAATCAAGAAAATAAAATGTCAAATTTAACTATAGTTTCAGCACCCGGTAAAGTGCTTTTAACAGGAGGTTATCTCATATTAGATAGAAAGTATAATGGAATAGTTGTTGGAACAAGTGCGAGATTTTATACCGTTATTTTTTCAGGGAACAATGGAAAAATTTCTGTTCATTCACCACAATTTATTGATGGAGAATGGGAATATCGACCAAGTTTGAAGAGTTTTTACAATGATGAGGGTTTTTTTTCTTGTGAACTTGAATCCACGTAAGTAAATAAATTTATCATTTCTCTTTTTATAATTTTATTAATCGGACAATTCCCTTTTTTTTTTTGAAAATAAATAAATAAATAAAAGTAATCCGGAAAGACATAATTCATTTGTTGAAATTGCTATTAAATATTCTTTATTGATTATTTCACGAAGAAAAAACGAACAACAATTTAAAGAAATAGTTACTAAAGGATTAGAAATATATATAGTTGGTGATAACGATTTTTATTCGCAACGCGAACAGGTAAAATTAAAATCATCATTTTTGAAATTTATAAATTTTCATTTTTATATATATGAGGTTAATTATTTTTTTTTTTTTATTAATAGTTAAGAAAATTAAATTTACCACTTACATTATCGTCACTAAAATCTTTAGAACCATTTTGTAAAGTACATTGTACATTAAAAAAAGTTAATAAAACTGGATTGGGATCATCAGCAGCATTAATTACATCACTTGTATCAGCACTCTTTGTTCATTTTGAAATAGTTTCAAATAAAATAAACGAAATAACAAATAATGATCGAAAATTAATTCATAATATAGCACAATTTTGTCATTGTTTAGCACAAGGAAAAGTTGGTAGTGGATTTGATGTTTCAGCTGCTGTTTGGGGAAGTCATATTTATAAAAGATTCTCTCCAAACATTTTGGAAAATGTTATGGTATTTTATTTAATTAATCATTAAGTATAAATTATAAGTTTTTAATTATGCTTTAATAATGGTTATAGGATCAAAACGTTGATATATCAATTCTTAATAATATTGTTGATCCAGCTTCAAGTAAGTAAGTATTATTATCGTTATTGCTGTATAAATTTGGGAATTGATCAGATCATGAAGTTATAGGCATCAAAAACTTCACAATAAAATTTATGATTTGTGAGAAAAATAAGCTCATTAGCGCTTGCTCATTAACCAGGTTAAGGCTGAAGCCTATATATACTTTCGATCTTTCATAAGTATCCTATTTATTTCTTTTTTTTTTTAATTAGATGGGATAATCAGGTAACAAGTTTTTCGCTTCCGCATGGATTTAAGTTAATATTAGCGGATATAGATGCAGGTTCACATACTCCAAGTATGGTTGGAAAAGTATTGAAGTGGCGTAAAGAGAATTCTGACCAAGGTTTAATAATTTAAATATATAATTAAAATACTTTTTCTTTAGTATATTATATAATTTTATTTTTATTGATATTGATATTTTAAAAGCAAATACATTATGGGATACACTTACATCTCATAATACAACTGTATCAAATAATTTAAGAGAATTAACTAAGAATCATGAACAAGATGAAGAATTATATCTTAATGCTATTAAGATTTGTGAAAGTGTGAAAGCTTCTGAGGCATGTATACGAAATTAATGATGAGAATAACTTATCTGAATATTATTTCTATTTAATTTAATAATTTAATATTAAATCAGTGGGCTTTACTTGCGGAACAAAATCCAAACAATAATAATGTTACTCTTTTTTCTTCTACTTTTAATACTTTTCAAGTAACTATAATTGTTATAATTATTATTTTTATAATATAAATAACATTATTAACTGATCCCTTCTTTTTTTTAGAAAATTCGAGAATTATTACGTGAAATGTCCGAATTATCTCGAGTACCAATTGAACCCCCTAAACAAACAAAATTACTTGATGCTTGTAATGAAATACCTGGTATAATCATGGCGGGTGTTCCTGGAGGTAAATATAATTCTGCATTAAAAAAATTTACAAATACTTTACGAATCATTTATACTTTTTTTAAATACAATATATCTAGCTGGAGGATATGATGCAATATTTTGTATTGGTCTGGGTAATACATTCAGTTCACAAATAGAGAAACTTTGGAATTCATGGGAGGAAATGAGCGTTGGACCTTTACTCTCTAGAGAATCTTCAAAAGGATACATGATCGAGCAAATTAATAATATTCCTGGATTATCGGAATGCCTAAATCTTTGATTTTATTATATATCATGAGATTCGCAAAATATGAGAGATTTAAACTGACGAACAAATTAAATAAATTTGGTCAAAATTTTCTCTTAATTCACATGATAATTTGCCCCGGTTTATAATTAATCCGAAAATAGACGTTTATATTCACTTCTTTATCAATTTAAAGGGTGTTTGCATCAATCACACCTAATTAAAATTATTAAGCCTAGAAAGAACCAAAGATAATTCGTGAAAATATCTTGCATTTAGTTTTGTTCTGAGGAAGTGGGTCTCGAGAAGAATTGTGCGTCAATATACAGATGATCCGAAAAAAACATGCGAGATCGGAATTTGTGGTCTTCGTATTTAGATTATGCCGTTAAGATTGGAAGAGTTCGATCCCGTCTTTTTGCATATATGTCCGAACATCATGAATTTATTTCGAAAAATTTTTTCAACGTAAGCCACGTATATTCACATACGGTATTCACATACATTTAATAAGAAAAAAACCGCGAAATTTTATAAATTATTGAAAAAAATCTCAATGCTAAATAACACGATTTGAATATTAATTTGATCTATTATTAAAATTATCCTGACTAAAAGTTGTAAATGCAATATTTCAAAGACTTCTTTGTTGCAAGAAAAAATGCTTCACATAACTTCTTAACATCTACTGAAACAATTCGTAATAAGGAAAATAATTTTTACACCTTTTTAGGCTGTAAACCAATTATTGGAATTTTAACGGATTCAGGCTACATTGAACGTGATATGGAATCAAGTAGGTTGTTATGGGTAATTTCTAAGACATTAGAAATACGATCCTTCAAATCGTAAAAGAGAATGTTAGAGTTGTTTGATACATTGAAGTAATAACTGATAAGCTATTATATTTTAAAAACTTACTTTGATATTGAAAAAGCCTCTTTGACTGGTATCAGGCTTACGAACTGGGTTTGGCTGGTTGGAAGTTGGAACAATTAGATTTGAGATTAGGGTCATTTATAGATCCCATCGTAATTTAAATCCATATCGTAGATGTAAATGCGCTCGCCTATGAATGTGATTAAGTATTAATCAGTAAAACAATATAAAGTTGAAACAAATCTAAGCACTTACCACAAATCCATATTCCAAAAGAAGCCAGCCCGGTTCTGTTGCCATACTTTTTCCAATGAGCCAGCTTGGAAATTTGCGAGTTTCACAAGATCTTTGTTAAGCAACAATGTTGAATTTTTACTTTTTGGTGGGTTTACTTCTCCGAAAAGAATTTCATCAACTACATTCATTACAAGTTTAAAATCTGGTTTTTTACCTTTTAAATTTTCATTTTCTTTGTTGCTGTTACGCTGGCTCTTTGATGCAAGAGACTCGCTATTCGCCCTTTTAAATTCAACATCATTTAATTGCATTATTCAATTAGTCACATAGAAATCACAAACACAAAACTCTTACCAAACTAGCTCAAATTTTGGATCCCGAAAAACTTCATTGAGTAAATCGTGCAGAATTTCATGAACGAAGGTATCTTTGTTGTTAATTGTCACATCTTTCGAACTTAATAATAAGCTATAAAAGGAAGATATTCCATTCAAAGTCGCATCAATTATGATTGCATTACAATGAGTATAACATTTACAAGTTTCATAGAATTATTTGAATCTGGAAAACTTCATGATTGTTTAATTCAACAGCTTTGGAGAAATTAATGCCCCATGTATCCTGAACATTATCAAGTGGCATGAAAGAGTTTAGCATCTAAAGAAAAATTCTTGGTCACTCATACTATTTAATACCCAATCTGAATATAGAGTAAATATTACTGAAGAATAATCATGAACCACCTCATATGCCACAGATGGTAGCTTCAGAAGTAATTTTCTTTGGCAGATTTGGTCCCAAATCACTTGAGTGCAAGTGATATATAGCGGTTTAATCTGTTCAATTAACATAATATTTAATAAACATCTATTTTACCATGGATGACAACAATGTATTACTTACAAGATTTTCTGTAAGTCATTTTGAAAGCATAAAATTGAATCTTTTTTGACTTGTGTAATTATTAATCTTTGAAAATTTCTGAATTTTAGGGAGAGATTATATCCTTCAAAGGTCCACTGAAAAGTACAATCATGTGTAAATATAGTTTAATTATATCTTGTAAATGCAATGAGATACTCACATCCATTTCTAAAAATATTTCTGAAATTGATATTGTCAACAATATTCTCCTATAAATACCCAATTCAATATCATTTTAAACAGATTGTTGTTAATCAGTACATCGATATGTTTAATTTTAATTGCATCTGAAAAACGACGATACTTTTCTTTAATGATTTAGCATTGAAATGTTCAGGACCTTCTTTATGATTAAAGTTAAAGGACAGATTAAATGATACTGAATATGAACTATAATTCTTGATTTATTTTTGATTCTGCTGACATTAGTATCAAATTATCATCCTCATATAACTAGCCACATAATAAACATATTTGACATACCTTTTCCTTTTATATAAGTAAACTGTAATTGTCAAAAATAATTGTTGATAGACTTCTTATAATGAATATTTCATAATTTTATTTAAGTTCAACAAGCTTTAAATTATCCTTACAAATTGTAAAACTTACATTAAGTACAGAATACCAATTCAAGAGACCTGTTATCTTTGAAGTGTATTTAAACTTTTGGAAAATCACTAATAGTGTGGGTTTGTTATTAATAAAAAAGTCAAGTTTTTGCTTATTTGAAAATTAAGATTGTAATTAAATCAGATGAGTTAGGCATAAAGGGATATAATTAAAACAAAATTGCAGATTTAGATTGCTAGTAACATACTTGTTATTTAATAAAATTATTGGGATCGCCAGAAAGAATTTTATATATTTTTGTGTTATATACCTATCAAATGTGTGATGTAATTTTTGGAACATATATTATTTTCATATAGATTGGTTAAAATATCCAAATACAAAATATATTATGATATTTCAGTATTTAAGTAACTTTTTAAATAGATATTTTATTCTGTGAGATGTGGTCTATTATAAATTTGGCAAAACTATAATTACTCTTTACTAAAAGGCCAATTTGTAACTAGATTCTCTTACAGAAGACAGTATAATTACAAGTATTCAAAAGAATTACAGTTATCTTATACTTTAAGCTGTTGCTCATTCTGTAGCTCATGCTTAATTGTCAAGAGTTATATTGTGAGTGCAGAATCTTACTTACTTATAATAAAGGTTACCGTAAAAAATTAACCTTTACTAATGATTTTTACCTTACTTTTTTCTTAAATTCTATTGGTTAATTAGCTAAAAAGGAAAAAAAATCATAACAATATAACATAAAATTTCCTTTTATAGTAGGATTTGCAAAGAATTTTATATATGATTTTTACCTTAGACCTGAGAGTGACTTATCTTATAAGTAAGCAGGATCCTGTGGATACATATATAGAAATACTTTGATATCTTGTAGGTACTTAGCAGATTATATCTATACTGATTACTTAAGCTAATTGTATTTTGATTTTATTGAATATTTTAGAAAAAAGATGGTTTGACCCTATAATGTAAGCTACTGTAGGGCTGCTGGTCAAAAACTATGATTATTCCTATGGAAGCACCTCTTGTACGTAATTTGTATATATAGAAAACAATGTACTTACTTATCATTCTAAAGAACTACAGTTATCCCATACTTCTTTCAAGATTTGTTATTCATGATAAGTTGTCAAGAGTGTGCATTGTTCGCTCAACAACTTGGCCATTTATATCAAGAATGCATTTGTTATAGAATAGAATAGAGATAAGTATATTATTTTATTGATATATACATGGTTGAAGATAAAGTCCAATGTGGATAAAAGAATTTCTCAGGCCTTAAACCAAAGAAGAATAGCAAAATGTCTATTAATTTTTCAGATATATAGTGAATTAGAAAATGCTAGAAAAGATGATGCTATCAAAGAGAAAGAGAGTACACAGATCCTAGGCCATTTAATGCGAGTCCCAGCATCAAGTTATTTCTTTGTTCTCTCTTTTTTAAGAAATTTTACACTTAATTTATTTCTATCACTATTGTTAACTATGAGATTCTCACCCACATTCTCTTATTATACTAGATTTCCGAAATAAATTTTTTCGCATATATCTACAGTATTTTCGTTCTATATCACCCGCACAGTATAAAAGATTATCTGAGATTAAGTAATTCGAATCTACAAGCAACTACAGTAAAAAAAAATAATATTACTGATTCATACTTACCACTACGATTCATTTTTATAACATTCCATTCCACCTTGTATTTAGGGAATTTGTTGCTTAGAGTGTTATAATAAAGGCATGTCGATTTTTTTATCACCAGTACGATACTGCGCCAAATTTTGTTGATGTTGAAAATCAGATGATAGGAAAGTCACGGCAATTTTACTGTGCTGATGAGACACGTGAATTCGATTAGATTAGATAATATTTTCGTAATACTGCTAGTTATTTCACTGCGACAGTGCGACTATTATTACACATGATGACGGACTTAAGCTTACAAAAAAAATATTTTGTTCGATTGGCAAACCATTAGGAGACATTTACCAGTAATGGCCAGAGGTTGTACGATGATACAGATATTCTTGGAGTCATACGTAAAGATGTCGCCAACTGGAGACAACTTTTTACCTCCGAGTTCTTGTATAATAATATTTTCTTCATCCATATCACGGGATCTGCTTTGAAGTGTTCTCAGTTTAACGTTCTCTGTATCGTAAGGAATATCCACCAACCATAGATTCAACTTGTTGGCATCAAATTTTTTGTCTTCAAATTTTTTGTCTTCGAAATCATTCTTATTCTTCTCACAATGGTCATTTTTATCTGGCCGTCAACTTCAAAGACGCTACCAAGATCGGTACCTACCACAAAACAAAATATCATGATTTCGGTAAAATATCTGCAAACGCAAAAATCAAGAGTTAAAAACAAAGGTCAAAAAATCAATTTTTCAATAAAGACCTTTGTGTATATTTTGTATGTAATCATGTAATCTTATATTTTCAGGTGGAATTGTATTGATGTCGTATTTATATTGATATATGATGCACGGGAGTGAGGCTGTGTAACAGGCGCGACAAAAAAGTTTTTTTCCAATGCGATTTTTTTTTTCATTATTTTTTTTTTTATCTTATATTTTTACCATTTAAAACTATATTCTTTTGATTCTTTTGACTTAATATTTTATATTTTACTTTACTTTAAATAATATTCTTCTAATATCATTTTACTAAATAATATATAATCTAATTATCAAACATTTTTAAAAAAATTTTTCTCAATAAACATTTCATTCAATAGATATTTGATAAATTCAATTGAAAATGCAATTCATAGATATCTGGCAAAAGAAGATACAATTCATTTTCCTGTATGCTGTTTTATGCTAAAACTTCATAATGTCAATAATCTTACTTGGGATGATAAATATAATATGGCATTCCAATTATATGATAAGCCATCACCCATGGGAAGTAAACTTACTTGGGACGATAAATACAATTTGGCATATCAATTATACGAAAAGCCATCCCATGGGAGATAAACTTACTTGGGATGATAAATACAATATGGTATTTCAATTACATAGATGCATCTAATTTGTATAGATAATATAGTTTGTGCTGTATCATGTTTACATTGAAGGAAAGCAAATGTTTATTAGTAAATTGAATATTTAACTAGAATATAAATTGGCATACCAACCAAATATCAGTACTCTATGAAATCCCATATTTAACTATAACGAGTAAAATTTGGATCGTAGTTATAACTTTCTCAAATGAATCAAGTGATAATGAACTTTAAAATTTAGATCGAGAGGGATATTATTAAAAGTTAGTTAAAATTATTATATTATATATTATATTCTAGAATATTTAGTTTATTTATTATTATTTTTTATTATTATTATTTTATTTATTATTTAATATATATATTTTTATTTATATTACCTATCAATTAAATTAAATTATATTTTACAATATAAATTGATGGTTATCTTGTGCTATATCATTTTTGCATCAAATACTTGATCGAAATATCAGGATGTTTATTCATTTAATAATTTTAGTTTATCACTTATACGATTATTATGTCTAGTAACTCTAACTTTGTCTAAACGATGAGCTAAAATAGCCATGATAACATATAAAATAAGCATAATAATAACCAACAATTTACAATTTTCAGGAGCGGAGATAAGTTCACTAGGGATATATGTACATAGAGAATATATCAATAATATTTTTACCCATTTACTTGCTTGATCATCTCGTGATGATTGTATATAGTTACTATTATTAAAACCTTTATCCGTATAACGTGTAATTTGAATTTTAGAAGGGTGCACTTCAGTATTTTTCACATAATAATAATATGAACCAAAGAATAATAAAAATTCAAGTGGATAATGTACTATTGGAATATTCCATAATCCAAATCCATACTTTGTTTGAGTATCATAAAAAGTCAATGGCAAATCTAAAAAAATGGAAGGTTAATAAAATTCACTTTATGATAAAGATAAATTGTATTTACCTTCTTTATGAACCAATAAATCTTCAAACCAATGAGAGAGCACAGCCAATCCTACTAAGAACGCAGCACGATTACCGCCATCATATCTAGAAATTTTATACCACACTCCGTATAATATACTCCATCCAATCACAGCAATTAAAGAATGAGTGTATGGAATATAAATTAGCTCCAAGTCATTTGATTTTGTAAATCCACGAGTAATACGAACTGAAAATAAAGAGAAATTGATATTAGTAAGGGAAATTTTATTAATAGTTTACGATTGTTTAATTTTAATTTACCTTCTTCTATATCAAATAAAATAAATAAACAGAATATGAAATCGATGAACTATTCATGTTTTTCATAAAATAATAACAAAGAAATTAATAATGTATAAATTATAAAATAAATAAGAAAACAAAAAAATTATAAAAAAATTCGTCTTAACCTGAACTGCGACCATTAAAACCCATAAAGGGATCTTGGGTTCTAGAACTTTAATGATCCAAGCACCACAATAATGACCGTAAAACATTTTTAATAAAAGAGTTTTATTTTGATTTAGACTGAATTGCGAAAATTTCAATAAAAAAAAGATATTAATTAAAAAAATAATAAAATTGAGTACTTGTGCAAATAAGAACCTACCTTTGTAGATTTTTTACTCATTATCTCTAGACTCTAGAGGTGCAAGCTAAAAGAAAATTAGTTGTTAGATCAAGAACAAAGATATGCACGATCCATGTGATTTCACATATTCATATGATCCAGCATTTCACGTGATTAGCATTTTTAAATTGTACCACGTTACAAAAAATTCCATAAAAAATTCCATGAGGATGTTCAGAAAAAAATAAATATGCGAAATTTAATAAAATTACGCTTTATTTATTTCAAAAATTCAAAAAGCCCAATATAACAAATTGGATCGGATTTATTTGTATCATTTAAGGTACATATGGCGAATATATGGAAAAATCCGAAACGTTTTAATATGATGAGGCGTAAATCAGTGATCATTTATTTTCGAAAAAAAGCATGTCAAAAAGAATAATTTCAATGATTAAAAATGTTTACATAAACAATTTTTTTTTAAAAATAGACATGCATTGCATTATCCTTGTTATACAAATATTAATTAAATCACATTTTTTGAGTGAATTTAACATATAGTGTCAAACGTTATACCGATTAAATATATTATATATTAAATAACCATAATAAGTGATTTTAATTTCAAACTTTGTTTTTTAAAAAAATCACGTGATCATATAAAGTTTTATATATATTAAAAGTCTAATTTTACACGACATATATAGAAACAAATTAAAACTATCTAACCTATTTAGATGGTTTAACCACTAAAAAAAGTGAATTTCCTTTTTCCCAAAAAGAAAAATTTCTATAAATAATAGGTAACTATATAAATAAACAACCATTTTAAAAAAAATATTTTTTTTTTTTTTTCAAATCGACCGTTTCCAAATTATTATTTCTTTTGAATAAATTATTTATTTTTATATGATTCGGTTGGCTTGAAAATTTTGGTGATATGATATTTAAAAGAAATAATCAATTTAATTATGTTGATTCAATGAAAGTCACGATAATCTTCATATTATTCTTAGTAATAGTAAGTTCAATGCATTTGTTTTAGGTTTGGAAATTTTAGAGATGAAAAAAATCTAAATTATTTTTTTATTTTTTTTAATTCTAGGCTAATTCAATCGAAGCTCAACATATGGTAGGAATTTCTCAGTTAAAAGGACAGAGTAGTTGGTATATATGTAGTGCGAAAAATACAGATTTTATAGGTAATTATTTAATTTATATTTCAAATTATAATAAAAAAAAAATAGAACTAATCTGCCATCACTATCTTTTTTAGCATATAATTTAACGGTATTACCTAATAATATAGATTCAACACCAAATTTTGGAAATTTTGCACCAGGATGGCCATTACAAATTAATGGTCCTCCTGGTGTGATAGTAATAACAACGAATAGTACGGAAATGATGGACTATTTAAATCCAGATGGAATTGTTGCATGGTATTATGCTAATTTTTCTTGTATAGATGAACCCGTAACTTCTTGTATTAAAACGACCGATAATAGACTTTCAAATAATACTGTACAATGTTTGGGCGTAACAAATCCAAATAGTAAAACTGTAACTTGTCAAATAGATGTTAATTTTAATGTACCAACTGGAACTGCTGATATAATAAATAATTCAACCAATTCAGATAATTCAAATACGATAAACTCTAATAGTATAGCCACGATTAATATACCAATAATATCTTTAACTTATTTCATAATTATTCTTTGGACATTTATTTTCATATACATAGAAGGTAATTTTTAATGTATGAACGTATGCATACAACGCGTACATATTTATGTGTATATTATTTAGCAAAAAAAGAAATAGAAAAAGAAAAAAAAAAGGGAATTATTAATGAATTTTAAGATAATGTACAGAAAAGTTTTTTGGAAATAAATGAAAAAACTTTATAAACCGTATCGTCACCTTTACGGCATTACCCATGTATAGTTTGCGGGTTCATACAAAATTCATGGGTACTATACTAGGGAGGCTTTCCATGGGTATTATACATTCTGCTGCAGCAGGGGAGGACCAAAATAGAATTAGTCGTGATAAAATTATAAAATTCAAATAATCTATGGTTGCTATGCCACACTATTTTAAGAAATCATTTATTATAACATTAAATTCATTAATATGCTGACTTGTAATCCATTTAAGTACTTGATTGGTTGACATCAACTCACCTATATGAATGATACTGTATATTACCTATCTCTCAATTGGTATCTCACGACTATTTAACAAATTCCAAAATTCTTTTTCACCAATATCCAGTAAATTTCCATTTTTTTTAGATTTTATAATTTATAATAAAATCCAATGTTTACTAATAAATAATTAAAAATTGTGGGTCTTGTGGTCTACCAGACGAAGAAGTCAGGGCTATATGCTAAGATGGTGCGTTTCATACGTCGTCTACCTGATCAGTCACCATGACCACCCGACAGTGCACATGTGGGGTTCCATAGAGGAATGACGAATGGTTTACAAATTAATAATATTAGCATAGTTTATAGTTTTTTTAAATTTGTAAATGTACTGCGGTTAAAAAAAAAAAAAAAATAATAATTAAAATAAATTGATAAAATTTCTGTTTTTTTTTGATCCAAAATACTCACTATTTGAATGAATTTAAATAATCTTCAAGTACAAGTTTATAATTATTTTTGATTATAATATATCATAAATAATATTCTACAATAATATATTAATTTATCACAAATAAGTTTTTTTTCAACCCTTTTATAATTACAAGAGACAACTTCAATATCTTTAATATCTCTTTTTAATATACTGGAGTCATATTTCAGACTCTTTAAAAAAGCTTAAGTGATTGGAATATTTATAAATTTTCAGAATATAAAACAAAAGTGCATTAGTCCTCTCTAATGTGTTGTATTCGAATGTTCAAGCAGTATATAATTATTTAGTGGTTTTATCGATTTATAGCGATTCTTTATATAGTGGGACTCAAATTTATACAGATTATGAATAGAAACATTTGTGCGAGAAAAAAATGTATCGATGTGTTAGAGTTATATAAAAAATTTTCCGTTTCATTGCATATTGCAGATACTGTGTTATATACAAAGTTTTGTTACACATACATTTTGCATTTGCATAACAAACGAGTTTTAATAGGTTTAACACACCACTTATCCTTTACTGATCTTATCGTGTCTTGTTCCTTTCCCTTGCAAAAAAGTAGGCTATCAGAAAAATTTTTTAAATTCGCACTACGCTAATATGTAAATCATGTGACTGGATTTCTGTTGCTTTCGATCACCATAGTAATGTTAATGGTGTCAGCGCTTCAGGTGAATGGTGGTGTTCCAGGTCTCGAAACCGCTAATGGTGTTATAGGTCTTGAAATCATGGAATCGTGAGTCTTGGAAACTTTAATGGATCGAAACCTTATTATGAAAACCTATTTCAGAGCATTTTCGAAGATTGGGTCCCATGGAATATGCTTTATTATTTAACCGCTTTTTTTGACTAAAAGACTATTAGTATATATGCACATTTCACTATACATGTGAATTGTATATGGTTAAATATTCTTTGGCTCCGCTAGATAAATTACTAATACTAAATATAATTTGCATTTTTTTATCTACATTTTCTCTATATACTAGATTTCCGAAAGAAATTAACCAACATTCTATCCACAATCCCCACAAACTTTTCATAGCAATCACCAACCTGGCCCAATGTTGCGGTGTTTATTAAACTAAAGTGATAATTCAGGAAAACTGTTTAACTAACTCATCAAATGAATAACTGGTACGGCGGATATCAAACTGCGCTACTGTAGCGTAGTACAAAGATCCACGATACGCGTATACCGTATCTGGTATACGCGAGTAACGCGACATCAACTGATTTTTTCGTGCTTCAAAGATGTCAACTACTGCTTTGACGGAAGAAACGTTACAACTACAAATGTTATTGGATGGCTTTTTCAAAAAGAATACAATTTGGTCGTTGGTTAGTTACCTTATGTACGGATCGAAAGTTGACGAAATTACATATGATAAAGAAGGGAGCATAATTTGTATAAGAAAACTCTGACGTTATTGTCCAGAGATAACGATCAAGCTCGAAGTTGCCTAAATAATTTTGAAGTATAATGTATGATACATTGTATGTTACGCACTGCTGTGAGTTTAAGGCTAGAATACGTTTCGGTCACCGAGAGTGACGTATTGACAACTCTCGAGTAGCTAGCTGATTTACGTATTGGTTGGTGAGAGTGGAGTTACATCTTCCCTTTAGTAATCGGTAGTTTAAACCTAATTTTATACTAATCTTGTTTCTTTCCTATATTATAAAAAGATTGAGAAGATTTCTGAGGTGTACATAACTTCTGGACAACGATCGAAAAAAAGATGCTACGAAGACAAGATTGAAAAAGAATCGGTTTGTAGATCGTGATTTGCGGTTGTTTATATACATAGGGAACTTACTTGTTTTGTAAAGTAGTTAGGATACATTAACGACGTAATAGATGATTCCATTAAGGATTCAAAAGATGACGAGAACGTTTTTATCCGGTAAGTTAAAGTCATTTGTAGAGAAACATGACGAGAAGCGAAATTACGTAAGTATTAAAAAAAATAGGTTTATATTTGTTTTTTATGTAGTAAATTTTACTTTTTTCTCAACATCCAGGACCACATGGAAGATTCTCAGGGTCATAAAGAGTCTTATAAACCAAATTCTGATTTACACACACCGGTTCCCAGCAAGAAGGTCAGACTAGGACTAACTTATGTACCATTTTTCATTATTTTATACCGATATTATGCCTTTTTAAATCATTTTTAATATACAGGCTATACGTTTAATGTATCATTCGACGAATACACTACTGTCGTTAACGCCGTCAAATCTATACAACAAGATAATGAATCTGCCTACACTGAGTAAGTTATATCTACCTATTTCTCAATTCGTTGTGTACTAATGTTCCCACTTTTTTGTTGTAGCCCACTCTGGTGAGATTTCCGCGAGGAGAACATATCTCTGAGTCCATCCCTCGTGCTTCTCAACCGATGAGATCGATCGTTTGATGAGTACGGTTACAATAGGTTCCCAATTTTGTCGATCTATGACAAGAAGTGCTATTCAAGAAGAGAAGAAACACATCAGTAAATCGGTAGAATCTTTCTTAGAGGCATTATTACTATCAGAAATTGTTAGCCTTAGACTTCTTGTAAAGGAATGCGGTGCTCGCGAGGAGTTGCTGGTGTATGCGATCTCTTACAAAAATATGCGGATAAAATGCAAGTTAATCAAATTACTTACATAACATTCTGATTTAGTGTCCATAAGTTTGTAAAAATTCTATAACGGACCACTTTACAATAGGATGTTACGGATAGGAACACGATTAAAGATCATCTCGAAAATGTTGATGTTAACGGTGAAATGCATTGAGGATACGTAAGTTTCCATCCGTATACATGATTTGGTCATCTACATTTGTTATAATTTAAACAATGGTATTATAATAGTTCGTTCTAATTCTAATCTTTGTTCAGAAATTTAGCTTTTTTTTCGCTAATATTACTCATAACATCAATTACATCAATTTAAAGATTCAACGTTATTCTTTTTTCTTTTTACTACCTTTTTATCATCTTTTTCAGGATTTGGAACCTCTTCTTGTTCATTAACCTCATCATTAATATATTCCGTTGTTTCATTTGAAATGTGTGAAGGGGAGACATTTTCACGGCAGCCAAAAATTCTATCCATTTTTTCCATCCATTTCCAGTCCACTCTTTCCGATCCACTTTGATTATTTTGTCTTTTTACTTTACTGTACTTCTCTAACAATCTACTTAATCGCCCTTTAATGCTTTCTGCACTTTTTGTTTTGATAATATTTTTGGAAACCATGGCGTAAAATTCAGATTTTACCTTTTTGATATTTACTAAAATTATCTTCCAAAAAATCCAATAGTTTGCATGTTACTTCATCACTCCATGCTTGAGACTTATTATCAGAAGCTTTCCGCTTCTTTGAATTTTTCATTTCTTCTAAATTCTAAATTTAATAAAGAAATGAATATTAATGCTAAATAAATTAGATTCTTAACAAAATTTGAAATTTAACACAACACATTTTCTTTAGCATTATGATCCTGGTTTCCAGAATTATCAAGTTCAGTATTAAATGCATTATCATTAAAATTATGTTGAAAAGAATCATCATTTTCTTGAAAATTATCATTTGTATCGTGAAACAAATAATAATTGTTTGATAAAGTGGTAGGTTCCGCACATTATTTCTCATTTGAACAAATCGGTCTGCTATTATTAAAGAATATGATTCAGAATTATTAGGTCTCACTTCATTAACTTTGGTAAAGCTTGAGTATTTAGTTTAGGTGTCAAATAAGAAATTGAAGTTTCCTTGTTGAGTATTGGATGTATTTTTTAATGTTAATCTTGGAGCTAAAGGTCTAGGAGCTAAAACTTTTGGAACTAAGGGTTTTGGAACTAAAGGTTTATATTTTATCTACGTTTATATAACATTCTTCTATACAACACATCCTTTTTATAACTTATATGATTAAAACTTCTCCATGGCCTTTAATTTACCATGACTTTGATTACTATAAGCACTACCATAATGAAAACAACTTCACCTTTTCTTTTAGAAAGGAATCATTTTTTACTTGAAAAAATCTTGAATTTCACCAAAAAATACTAAAGGCCTAACAGTTGTTAAAAGTATTCAGTTTAAGGTTAATTTATTTCTCTTTTTTGAAGCAGTATGAGGTTTTTGCCAAGTTGCTTGTTCCACAACTATGAGAATGTTCTATATACCATTTTTCTAATATTCTACATAAATGTGATAATATATGGGAACTTTAGAAGTCCTTTTGACTCTCACAGCTATGAGGATATTCTATATACCATTCCTTTAATATTCTACATGAATGCTATAGTTCAAATTAGATATTCTTTTATTGGCATCATACAACATCTCCATCATTACAAATTTTTAATGTTTTCATTTTCTTTTTTCTAAAATTATCAACAGCATAATAAGAAAGTCAACATTTTCTGGAATGAAATCAAGCTTATATATCTAAAGTATAAGAAAATTTTGTAAATAGTAAGCAATTTTTTTGCTGAAAAACTGAAATTTTTTAAGTTTTTATTAAATAGCTTTCTTATATAAAAATGATGTCATATTAATATAAGTAAAAAGATGCAAAATATGATGGAGAATATAGCTGAAGAAACTGTGAAAATACATTTAGTTATAATAAAAGTAATTCTTTAAAAAATCAATCAAGTTCATAATATATTCAATATTATTGATTTTACATTTCTGTAGAATTCAAATAATGAAAATAATGATTTTTTTAGAGTTCTTCTAAATAACAACTGTTCAACCTATTTTCTGATTTAAATTATTTCAAATATCATATGGAGATAAATGCATTAAAATAATAAATAATAATATACATTTACCTTTTTTTTGATTTTTTAGATTAATATCTAATATCTTTGAATCAATGAGATTTTGTCTTTATTGCAAAAGTAAAATTACTTTATCTGATGTTATTAAGTTTGAAAAGTTTGAGAATAACAGTAATAAATTAGTTAAAGTATACTAATAACAGAATTCTTATTATTTTATTTTACATATCATACAGTTTACTTATGTTATTTAATTAGATTATAAAACAGATGAAATAAGAAGATAAAGATCCTCCTAAAATATACAAATTGGCTTTATATATATATATATAACTGTATTACAAATATCTATTTATTCAATATTTAGGTAAAAAACTATTATTATTAAAATTTTTTATTAATAGTAAATTAATTAAACTACTTTTTTATTATCAACTGATTGGTATCAGTTTAGTAGATTGTATGAATATTTTTAGATCACAAAAAAAATATCAGGTTAGATTGGTCAAACAACTTGGATTACATTTTCATTATTTTAAATAATACAAAAATGTATTTGAAGTTAGGAAAGATAATTGAAGATATTTTTTTCAATTTTACTAAAGATATAGAGTATAAAAAGTAAGTTTTCTCAAAACTTAATTTCTTTTTTTTTATCTTATTATTTTGATTCTGATATATGTTATTAGTTATACTTATTTCTATATTATAAATTATGATAACGAAAATATCAAGACATTGTTCACTGAAACAAAATGAAATGAATTAATTGAGAATCAAATTAGAATTCCAGCTGTTTTATTGTGAAATCAAAAAGGAGCTAATAAGATATGGAAAGAAAATATTAAATAAGTTTTATAATTTTGTGTTGACATCGTATTTACAAAATAGAATTACTTATGATATTAACAAGCCCTATAATCAGAAGTAGATACAAATGGTAATGTGAATACTAGTAAATTTATATGAAAATATAGATGTCTCTTTAATTAAAAACTAATATAAAAATTGGTTTACTGTCATTTTTTTTGGAACATACATCAACCTTTGTATGAGAAATATTCAATTATGCTGAGATCCCCCAATTCCCTCTGTCATCAATTTACAGAGTTGCCACATCGAACGGGCATTCCCATGGTTGAACGAACGAATAAACGAACGAACGAACAATTAAACGACCAAGCAAATAATCAACGACATAATCAAACAACATAATCAACGAACAACATACAACAACATATAACAACCACAGGTCAAAATCGAGGCTATCGGTTGCATATCGGGTACCAGATATATGTAGGATATGTATATGATATGTATACGATATGCAACAATTACACAC